GCCTCCCAAAATGCTGGGATTACAGGTGTGAGCCACTGCGCCCAGCCTATCTTTCTTTTTTAAGTGGCGATGTCTCCTTATGTTGACCAAGCTGGACTAGAACTCCTGAGCTCAAGCCATCCTCCCACCTCAGCCTCCCAGGCTGCTGGGACCACAGGCACATGCTACCATGCCCAGCCTCACTTTGGTAAATATATGAAGAAATGGATATAAATGTTTCAGGTCTTACAGCTAGGAACCAGAGAAATCAGAAGTTATCCCAGTAAATTTACAACCTGCACATATAACAACCACTGTGCTATACTGCCTTAAAGGAGGATAAAGGAACACCAGGGGAAAAGGAGAATGAGGAGGTGACAGCTGTCAGGAGGAAAACCAGAAAAGCAGTGTGTCCACAAAACCTAAAGGAGGAGAGAGCTGAGGGAGGAAATGGTTGGAGGTATCAGATTTGTAGGTGGTCAAGTGACTGATTACAACTAAAAAGTGCCCATTGGAATTAGCATCTAGATCAGTGATGATGCCTAACAGAAGTGTCCTGAGGTTGGAGGGAGAGCAGACGTGTTGCGGATGCTGCATAGACTAGGAGGTGGGGAAATACAGCATGCACAACTCTGCCAAGAAAATTGTGAAGAGGGGAGAGCTAGAACCTAAGTTAAAGATTTTCATTTTTTAAAGAGGAAGGGTTTGGAGCCTTTTACACGGCAAAGGAAAAGTCAGTAGAAAATGGAAGTTTTAAAGAGATAGGACTCCAAACATGTGCAAGCAATTGTGAGTGGGATGTGATTGGAGACACTTTCAAGTCATGATTTCTAACCTCAGCTGGGCCCCTGATGCTGCCTGACAACCACACTGCATTTGTGGGAATTCGAGTCCAGTCACTGCCCCACTGTCTCACACAGCAGTTCTCAAAGGGTCATCCCCGTACGGGCGACTGCAGCATCACCTGGCACTTGTTAGAAATGCAGATTCCCGGGCCCATCCTAGACCTACTGAATCAGAATGTCTGGGGGAAGGGAGGGCCTTTTTTTTTTTTTCTTTTGAGATAGCATCTCACTCTGTAGCTCAGGCTGGAGTGCAGTGGCACAATCACAGCTCATTGAAGCCTTGACCTCCCAGGCTCAAGCAATCCTCCCGTCTCAGCCTCCTGAGTAGCTGGACCATAGGCGCACACCACCACACCTGGCTAATTTTTTTATTTTTTGAAGAGATAGGGTCGCTCTATGTTGCCCAGACTGTGGGAGGGCTTTAATAGGCTCTCTAGGTGGTTTTGGTACACACTAAAGTTTGAGAATCACTGCTCTCAGTGACTTTTTTAGAACTCCTCCTCCAGGTTCAAACTTCTAAGCCTTTCCCCTCATCCTCACAGTCAGCTGACCCTGCTTCCTAACTCACAAAGAGGAAAAAAAAAAAAAGGCCTCGAAGAGATAATATCCACCAGCTTCTCCCACATCAATCCGCCTTCCCACATCTATGCCCAAATATCATGCCTTCTCTCTTTTTACTTTGCATGAGCCATCAGTCCTCTAACCAAAGCCAGCCCCTCTGCTTCTGGACTCTGTCCAATCCCTTCTCCCCTCATCAGGGACATTTCTCCAGACGTTCTCCTCACTCCCCACTGCATTGTCAATTTTCACTCTCTACTGGCTCTTCCCCATCAGCATATAACCTATAACTCTTTTTTCCCACTTAAGAAGTTCTCTTTTTTCCCACTTAAGAAGTTTTCTTGACCTCACTTCTCCTTTTAGCTCCCAGCCAATTTCTCTCCTTCCTTTACAACACAACTCCTCCAAAGAGTTGCCTCCAAAGAGTTGTTTCCATCCCTCTCCTCCCATTCTTTCTTAAACTTATCAGCGATCAGACTTTTACCCCCACCACTCCACCAAAACTGTTCTTGTCAAAATCACCAATGACCTTCAATCAATTATCTTTGCTCTATATACTTTCCAGTGGGGGGGCAAGGGAGGGACAAAACATAAAACAAAAAAAAATATCAATCAATCAATCAATTCTCAAACTCATCTTACTTACTTTATGGGCCACATTTGACACAATTGACCTTTCCCTCCTCCTCAGTAAGTTTCCTTCTTTTGGCCTTCAGCATACCACCATCTCTTGGGGTTTTTTTCCTCACTACACTGACCTATGCCTCCGTCTCTCTGATGGTTCCAACTGATCTCAAGCTCATTGAGTCTTTGCACGTCTTTTCTGTCTACACTTGCTCCCTTGGTAATTCTTCTCATCTCCTGGCTTTAAATAACTTCCATATGCTGATGACTCTCAATCTTTTATCGCCAGCCCAGACCACACCAAACTTGCACATGAGCTGCTTTCTTGACATCTCCATTTGGATGCCTAGGAGACATACGTTTTTTGTTTTTTGTTGTTTTGAGGCTGTGTCTCGCTCTGTCACCCAGGCTGGAGTATAGTGGCACCATCTCGGCTCACCGAAACCGCTGCCTCCCAGGTTCCAGCGATTCTCTTACCACAGCCTTCCCCTTCTCAGTTAAAGTTCAGGTGAAAAATTCCTCCCTCCTCCCCACACTGCCTAATCCATCAGAAAATCCTGTTAGTCCACATTCAAAATACTTCTAAAATCCACCACTTTGAATCACCTCTTCTGCTACCACACTAACCAGAGGCTCACAATGACCTCCTAAATGGTCTCCTGCTTCTGCTCTCTTCAGCAATGGTCTCGCGCTTCTGCTGTCTTCAGATCTGTTCTCTACACAGTAGCGAAAGGTAGGAACCCTGTCCCTCCTCTGCTCAAAACAAGCTTGTCCAGCCCGCAGTCTGCGGGCCATATGTGGCCCAACACAAATTCATAAACTTTCTTAAAACATTATGAGGTTTTGCCCAGCCCAGTGGCTCACGCCTGTAATCCTAACACTTTGGGAGGCCGAGGTGGGTGGACCATGAGGTTAGGAGATCGAGACCATCCTGGCTAACACAGTAAAACCCCGTCTCTACTAAAAATACAAAAAATTAGCTGGGTGTGGTGGCAGACGCCTATAGTCCCAGCTACCTGGGAGGCTGAGGCAGGAGAATGGCGTGAACCCGGGAGGCAGAACTTGCAGTGGACCAAGATTGGGGCACTGTACTCCAGCCTGGGCAACAGAGCAAGACTCTGTCTCTTAAAAAAAAAGAAAAAAATTATGAGGTTTTTTAGTGATTTTTTTAAAGCTCATCAGCTATCTTTAATGTTAAGTGTATTTTATATGTGGCCCAAGACAATAATTCTTCTTCCACCATAACCCAGGGAAGCCAAAAGATTGGACATCCCTATTTCAAAACCTTTCAATAGCTCCATAAAAGCCAAA